TTTTTTTTTTTTTTTTTTCTTTTTTGCGCTACAGCCGGAAATTTGAAATGCCCAACTTTCAGTCCGAATTCTACCGCGGTAATTTTCGCGTTTCACGATTTTCCCCGTAATCGCGCGGCATCGCCTCCGTCTGCGGTGTTTCGACCCAGTGAATCGCTTTTCACGACTGAATGTGCACGAGCCAGAGAATTTGCTACTTTGAATACATACAAGTATATTAAAACTCGCCGCGAGCAAATAATACACGCGCGTATACGAATATATCGTTATCGCGTCGTCGACACAAAAAAAAAATGACCACTTCTCTCTCTTTCTCCTTCTCTGAGAGAACGGGACAACAGTTTGCCCTATCGGCAACCGTTTTTCTTTTTTTTTGTTTTTTTTTTTCGGCAAAATGCGCTCTGAATAACAATCTCGCTGAGCCGAATATTCGAACTCGATTTGAAAATCGAGCGCGGGCTATTCAACGCGTGTCGCGTTACCGATGAATGGTCGATTCGATGGGAAAATCGGCGCGCACATAGGATGATGACACGGGGACGGCGTCGCGCGACCGGCCATTGCGCCGCCCGATATCTGATCGCGCGTGTAGGTCACGCGCGCTGAATTCGCATTAGCGGGCAGCTGCACATCCGCGGGACGTTAAATCGTAAAGCATGTCGTAACTGTTACGCCGAAACACCGGGGGGCATGTGCGGTTGACACGGGGGGGAATATAATGCGAGATAACTTGACAGTTAACCCATTCGTAATTCGCATGCTTTCCATCCGGGCTGCTGCGGGCGCGAAATGGGGCGCGAGATAAGCCGCGAAACGATCGCCTTTCGGGTTTATGGGAATTTTCATTTCGTTCCGATTGAAAGTTTCCGCTGAGCCGCGCGGAAAATTTTCAAACCTGGACGCGACTTTCGAATTTAATATATTTTCCGCGCTCTCTCTCTCTCTCTCTTTCTCTCTCTCTCTGCGATGTTCGCAGAAACTTTTGCGCGCAATATTGTTGCACACACAAACGCGAGCACATTTGATTACAAACATACGCGATTGATACACTTCAAAACATTTTTCACGAGAGGCGCCGCGCCGCGCGCCTACAATCTAATCTTCACACGTACATTGTTGTGTTAAAAACCGTTTATCGCGCATTGTCCGTCGACGGTGAAAAGCGACATTGCCATAAGTCACGCCCCCTTCTCGCCGCAATCGCGTTGTTAACGTGGTTTATTCAGGTTCAGATTCCGTCGCGGATAAGCGGTACGCCATTCACCAATCGCGTACGAATCGGTCACCGATTCTCTCTCTCTCTCTCTCTCTCTCTCTTTCTCTCTCACCTCCAAAAACCAGCCTGTGAAATAAAAATCTCGGTAGCCGGGCAAACAGAGATTAATCTCCCCGAGCGTCGCAAATGGAAATCGCACCGGGCCATCGATCACCCCGGAGGGAGAGGCAGCAAAACGCTCACGCGCGCGCGCGCGCGTATTCTCTCACAAGCTCTCTCTCTCGTTGTGCAGGTGCGCCGGCAGAAGCGATCCGAAATTAACCTAATTAGCCGCGCGATTAGCAGCTGCAGACACGGGACGACGCCGCCGTCGCCCGTTCTTACCCGCGTGGCTCGAAGCTGGGTCGACCGCGTGCGCATTAATGGATCCGAAGGTACATTACTCCGCACTGTGCGCTCTTGCTCTCGCTATACACACGCTCGCGCAACCAGCGCGTCATGTCTCATTATCCAAAATAATTATGCGTACATGCGAACCCGCGCGCGCGCGCGGCATTCGGCTCTGCTTTTCGATGGCGCGCCGTCGCGTCGATGCATCGTGCATTGTCAGGTCTGCCGCGCGTTTCGCGCGCTACATAGATGATATCTCTATATATCTGGCGGGCGTTACGTGCTACCATTGCGTTACAACACTATCGGCGTATTAAGCGAGAAATCACGGAGTGTGTGTAGCACGTGCTTAATAATAATGATAATAATAATAATAATAATTGAAGAGGCATGTTCAATTTGGAATTGGAATTTTTACAGGAAAATGATTAATTATTAGGCGATATTTTCTGTGATTTGCAACTGTATAACGGAAGATGCTTGTGCTGTAATAAATATAATTTTTTTGGATGCGAGCGCGACACGTTGCCGGAGATAAAGAGAGAATAAAATTTAATTTCGACAAATATGTCTGTTATACGGGGACGTTTGCACGCGCTCGTTGCGCGATCCTTGTATTCCGGAACGCCGACGTAAATGGATTTGATGTGCAAACCAGGTCCTGACCGTGTATTGTCGGTCAGTAAAGTATGGTTAAGTATGTCGGTGGACGCGCAGTTCGATTACCGTTCATTAAATTATGGCGCAAACGCGCGATATATATACGCACACGGCGGTGGCATCGCCATTGAGCCGCAGTTATTGCAATTACAATTGGCGATGCTGGAAGAATTAGCGCTGTCATTGATCGAATTAATGCCGTCATAGCTGGCCTCATAGAGAGACCGGCTCTCTAATGATTGTTATCGCTAATTCCGAGATCCACTCTTGGACTCTTTGTTCTCGACATTTCCCAACGAGAGAGTCCCCGTTTGCAATAACGCGATAATTTTTCGAACGCAGTTGAATTTTTATTAACCGCGAAAAGGAAAGGTGTTTTTTTTCTTTTTTTTTTTTTTAATAAACGTACCGTTTGGTATAATGACGCCACCTCGCGTCCAGTAATTGATGGACTTGGGATAAGCTTCGGACACGCAAGTGAACGATATTTGTTTGCGAACCATAGCGCCCACCAATTGATCCGGGACCCAAATCATTGGCGGAACTGCGAACAGTGAGAAAAATGTGAAAAGAATGTCATAGAATTTTTTGTTTGTTTGTTTTTTTTTTTTTTTTCACAGATGGAGATATTTCATCTCACAGATATCCGTGTGTGCACTGAATGAATAAAAAAAAAAAAAAAAAGAAAAAATCAAATATACGCCGAGGTGAATAACTCACAATGTACAACAAGCCTCATTCTCTTGCTGACTGTTGGTGGAACGCCATTGGACGCGATGCAAAGGTACGCTCCCATCTGTAGTCTGTTCACCTTCGTGATTTCCAGAACCGGTCCTCGGACGTTGTTCTCTGCGACAGATGGTCGACCATTAAGCCATTCAAATCACGAACTGAATGTAATTGTTGTATCGCTAAGTGATTAATGACCGCCGGATCTCGGCGTGATTAAATATCACGCGTGTCACGCCGACAATTACTATCTTATCGCTAAATGTCACGCGTGTGATATAGCAGTCGTAAAAATTACGTATCGAACAAATCTCCTTCGTTACATGCTCGCGCGTTCATGAACCGCGTTGCGAACTACAACGTTGGGAGGAGAGACACGACGAACTCCGTCGCGCGCGTCTCGGCAAGAAATTTTCATCAGGTCCGACAAAAAATTCAATTCGCAATCGGGATTTGTATTAATACACGTCTACCGCGTTGCTTTGTTACTTGTGCGTAACCGATACTAATCACCGCGCCGTCGTTTTTTACCACGCGCGCGGTCTAATCTCCGTTAACATTGCGCCGCGTCTCGTTACACGCCATTCGCAAAACCCAATCCTCGCACCTCCTTCTCGCGGGCGAGAAACACTTGTCGGCGATTTCTTGCCGACATGCATCTTACTCTCAGTTACGAATATTATAAATGTATTCTCTCTCTCCCTCTCTCCCTCTCTCCCTCTCTCTCTCTCTCTCTTGGTGGGCACCAAGTAACTTCGGACTCTACATCTTCCCCTTCGTACACGCGCGCGCGCGCACGTACAGCCGCAAGAAAATACATTTACCGTGTACGAGTGATTACAATGACTGCGCATTCCTCAAAGTGCAACGCGGAAGCCATTTCGTTCGCTTTCTAGAGTTACGATCCATTATTGCATTTAACTATGTTGCTGAATAATCGCGGGGTGGAGCGAGGGGGGAAAGAGAGAGAACCGGATTCCAATTTAATTCAGAATTTTTTTCCTCCCTCCCAACCGGAAACCCACGTGAATATTGCATACCAATGAATTCATCGTATTTTTTTCCGCGCAACGGTTCGAAAACGTCGCACAGCTGCGCTCTCTGTTAATTAAACATACCGAACTTTTTATTCGTCGACGACGTGCTCGTCGACGGCGCGGTTTCTGTTTGTCGTAAAAATGCGTGACATCCGTGAGAGACGGAGATGGAAAACCTCTGGGAGGAGAGACACTCGCATAAGTCGCAAAGTTAACGGATGTGGATTAGAGTCGCGCGTGGCAGCGCGCGAAACGCCCGCCGTAAAATCTAAAACTTTAAGGAATATTCTCCTCTCCTCAAACGCCCGGCAGACATCGCGCGCGCAAGACTCTCTCTCTCTCTCTCTCGTCCGCTCTGTTGCATTTCTTAAGTTTTAAGACGCAAGCCGAATGCGCGGCGGGCTCTTTCGTCGCAGCCTTGGCACTGAACATCTCCGTGTGGCTTAAAACTCGCTTGTTATTCTTAACTTTCGCGTTACCGCACTCCGCGCGCGCGCGCGTCTCGTGTCTGCTGAATGTACACTCGAATAAACTGTCACGCTATATCTTCGAACGCTGCTGCAATGTTTTTGCAATGTATTATTTACAATATTTTACGATAGGGATTAACAAAAGCGACGCTCGTACGTTTCTTCATAAAAAAAAAAACAAAAAACAAAAAAAAAACAGAAAAACTTCCTCAGTTACATATTCGGCGGAAATGAAATAGGTTTTGAGCCGTTGAGAACGACGTCGCGTTTAATCTCTATGCAAGGCGATTTGTGTTATTGAGCCTGCTGACTCGACCTGAAAATCATCTGCATACGAGATAAGCTGTAAACGGTCGAGACCGCGGCCGCGTGCGGGCGCTCTTTAGTTAATTAGTTGCGAGTGCCGATTTACACGACCGTCGCCGTCGCCGCCGCCGCCGCAATGAGAAGAAAAAAAATTAAAGAGAAAAAAAGAGAGAGAGATAGAGAGATAGAGAAAGAAACGATAACGCGAACTACACGTTTAATAGATTCTAAATTTTACGTTTTCCTCTTGTAACCGGAGATTTTTCGTAATTAAGCGCCAACGCGGCTCTTTCGACTAAAATAAGGTTAATTAAATCGGCCGCGGTTGAATCATTCGACGAATATTTCGCGACTACCGGGGGTATACCTGTGTGTCGTTTCGCGGCGCTTTCGGAATTAGCGCGGAAGGTATAAATTGTCACCTTCGGCAACGCGGAATCGATTACGCAATCTCATTATTTATGAACACAGAGACATAGCACGTAATTAATAACGATATACACGAGTATATTTACGAAAATCGCTATGTGCACATATGAATGCATATGCGGGATTAACTTTCCAATGATTTACGATATGTAATGATCGCGCGCTGCGCTTCTACCCCGCACGAGTATCAAATATCTAGGTATGTACAAGCGCGCGTTTGTTTTTCGCCGCTGCGCTCGTACAATCTCGCCCGAAGATTCGAAACTTTCAAAACAAGCTATAAATATTTTATCGGCGTATAAATTAAAAAAAAAAAAAAAAAAGTGCGCGCGTGCGCCAGATACCAGCCGATAGAATCTCGGCCAAGTTTTCGGCGGAGCTCGGAAAAGTGCAGAGACTGGAAAGTATCCTGCCGCAGCGATCGTCGACACAGAGATTCTCTTCTCCCGAAACTTCGCGCTACTACTCCGCGCCGCAACCAGCGAAACTTTATTTTCCCGTTAGTATTTGCGGACAGTTTCCGGCAAAATAGGTTTGCCGGTTTATTTGGGATTTCGTTCGCGCATACACACGGACCGCGAGACCGCGTGTCCGTGAGAGAAGAAGTGAGTGCGTGAACGAAAAGCGAAGAAGAGAAGAGTCTCCGGGTCGTTCGCTCATGAGCGAAAGAGGTCGTTCCAGAAGAGCGGAAAGTGCTCGTGAGCGAAAAAAGATGGCAGGACGCGCGAGAAGTTCGGAGAGCGCGTCTGGAAAGAGTGGATTGTCGTGACTGTTCGTGATTGCCGTGAGAAAAAGAGCCCGGGATAAGAGAGCGGAGAAAAAGAAAGAGAGAGAGAGAGAGAGAGACTTTCGAAAGCGAAAAAAAAAAAAAAGAAGGGTCGCGGTAATCGCGAGGAAGCAGGAGAAACTGCGAGGCACGCGAGCGAAAAAAAAAATGAGAAGTGGAAGGAAAGGAAGAGAAGGAATTCGTTAATTAAAGTATGGAGCGCCGGAAACAATACCGGAACGATAAAGAAGTCGGAGGGACACGGAAAACGTGGAAAATGGAAGCAGAAGAAAGACGCGCGGCGGTCAGGGAACCAGTCATACTTGCGAATTAAAGCGGAACGTACGCGCGCGTTGGAAATATATCGCGGAAAATCCACAGAGAGAATACATATACGTCCGACTTCGGGAAATAAAACGGAAAAGACGATGGAAGCGTTCGAGTATATACACAGAGAAAGAGAGAAAAAGAGAGAGAGAGAGAGTAAAGATTGAAATGGAAATAAACCGAGCACGAGACACAGAGAAGTTCCTCAGAGAGAAAGATAAAAAGGGAGAGAGAAAGAGAGAGTTTTCATGGTCGCAAAAGAGTAGAAGCGCACACGTTCGTAAGTTAAACAAAAAGATGGGAGAAGCTCGGGAAAGAAGAAACTTACCACTTATTGACTAAAAAATTGAGAAAGTTAAAGGAAGAGGAGAAAACTGCGCACGCATACATAAACTGTCATGATACCGAAGATGAATCCCGGGGTGTTCTTGAGAAATGAGCGAGGAGAGGAAACTATACAAAAACCGGAAACGAATGCGCGCGCGCGCGCGCGAAACGCGAAACGAGAGAAAGATGCGAAAGAATTTGATTAAGCAAAGCGTTTTTATTAAACAAAAAATTAAATACATTGCTCGATTTTGATAACAAACAAATTACAACAAGCGCGAAACAATGAGCGAAATACAAATGTAATAAACGAAAGGCGTAATAAATTTCGACAGCGCGCGACATTCGTAACGGTTGGCAGATGATGTTAAATGAAGCGCTGAGCGAATAAACTGCACGCGTAGCGGAATAAATATTTTCGCTGTCAGCAAAACGACATTATGCAAAACGACGCTTCAATAAATTTCAGAAACAATAGGGATAATAAATAGATATTGTATCAACGTCAGCGAATCATTATGAACAAGCGGTGTATTTAAACGACATTAGCACGCGGCTGTAAACGGGATGAAAAATTAAAAGAGCGTCGCGCGCGACAGATCATTACAAATACAACGAAACAACAATAACAAAGAGCGGAGTACTTTGAGATTAATTCGAGAGATGCGCGTGGTATTGTGTTGTAATAACATATATATATATATATATATATATATGTGTATATATATATATATATATATATATATAGTGATTAATAAATTTGTAATTTCGCGTTGTTAAACAAGTTCAAATTTAACCCTATCTTTTACTGAATTTAACCTATATCTTTTACTCTGCGTGCGTGTGTACGTGTTGTATCTAAGAATACGTACACGATCGATATTAATTAAAACTAAATTTCAAAATTCTACTTTAGTACAATTGACAGTTTCAACTGTCACTTGTGACCTTTTTATCGGTCTTTTGTGTCTTTTCTAGGACAAATAACAATTTTAATCGAGTTGGACTAGAAAAAAAAAAAAAAAAAAATCTCGATTTGTCACCAAAAGTCATTTCTCAGACAAAATTAGCTCCATTATTTAATCTGTGTAGAGAGAACTATGTACATTGCAAATTGAATTTCCGAACTTGGTTATATTACTTTTAAGCAGACGAGAGACAAATCGCATAAATATTTGCATAAAAAGTTTGCCAAACCAGATGGTTAGTTTAAAGAATAAATTACGTTGTGCTAAAACGAGCGCGCGGCGTTCGTCTCTGCGGGGAACAAGGTCAAACTGTAAAAAAAAAAAAGCGCCATGACGAGGGGAAGGAGAGGAGGGGGAGAAGAGGGGCCTGGACGAAAAGAATCGTCGCGTGCCCCCATAAATTATTGCGGGTTCTCTACAGTGGGGACAGGTGCATAAAGTGCGCAACAAAGGGGTGCAAATATTTAACGGAACTGCATGGAGAGGCGGGACGGCTCAATAAGTTTGAAAGACAAAAGGATGATAAATTGTTATTGTTGCCCCCTCCGGCGGAATAAAGTCGCGCGCGGCGTTGTTCGAACAGGTGCGAACTGGAATCGCTCGATTTTCCTTGGCCCGTTATTGTGCGAGACGCATAAGGGCTGAAACGCATATTTCACTTTGACATCACACCCGACACGGTCGCATCGGCAGCTTCGAATGCAATTGCATCACGCAACGTAGTCAGCTGAATAAAGTCCGAGAGAGAGAGGCGGTGAATGATAAATCGTCGTCACCGCGCGCCGTTGAGTGAATCCGGTGTTTCAGCTGCGCGCGTTCGCCCTAGCTCGCACGAGCTGAGGCTTTTCCTTACGGCGATTTTCGGGATGAGCGATGCGAATAAAATAAGTAAGTCGAGATCGAGTCGGGAAAAGAGGAGCCCGGGAGTCGAAGAATTTTTTCGCGCCACCTGACGCTTTACGCGCGCGAATTATGGAAAATAGAATCTGTCGCGCAAGAAAAAATTCGACGAATATCGAAGAGCAATCGAAATTTGGCGTGAAAAATCATCAGATCTAACACGTGTTTATATATGTTTTATATAAACTCTTACTTAATTTACTTTATTTTAATTTAATATAAAATTAAAATATTTCCTCGCAAAGGAATGTTAATCAAGAGAGAGAGCCACAGAGAAGATAAGATGTTCGCAGCGGAATAATGAGTATAATTTATACGACGTGATTAAAGTCATTTCGCCGCAAAGGATTATTAAAGACAACGACTGCTAAACTATTTTATTAGCAAAACCATCAAGAGCTTCTCTTGCGCGCGCGAAAACACACATATATACACAGACACACACACACGCACACATAGAAGACAGTTTTTGAGTAGTTTACCTTTCTGATTATTTCCGAGAACAATCTGCTCGCCGTCTTCCCTTTTCCACATGATGGTGGGCTTCGGAAACCCTGTTGCTTCGCAACGCATCGAGACGTTGCTACCCTCTCTCACCACCATATCCGTACTCGTGGGATAATCCAAGATATCCGGCGGAACTAACGGGATGAGAATTTTCATAATTGAACCTCGCAACGAATATTTGCTTTGCAACGATATCACACACACACACGTTGGTTTCGCGGAAAACGCAAAAAAAAAAGAAAAAATAAATAAATAAACGACAACGTGCAAATATAACGTACGAAAATTGAAATAACAAGAAAAAACGCAACGAGTGCGACGTACAAAAGCCGCGTCGCGATGTGCAAACATGTCAGGTCGAAAGAAACAAAACGCCAGCGTCCATTTCGCGAAACACACCGCGTTTCGTTTGCGTTATCGGTTAGCGGTTTTCAGAGCGGCGCGCGCGTAGCACCGGCGGAGCCCCCTCAAAAGCGATGCCAAAGCCAAAAGCCGAAAACTTGATTTTACCGCTTGTCCCCGCTATCAGAAGGGAACGATTCACCTTCGAACCTCGAACGCGAAAACAAAGACGAGCTACGGTTCTGGTGTTTTTGTTTCTCCGATTTTTACCGGAAACTACACAAACCCCGGAATATCTCTCGATATTAATATCGGCACGCGAGAAGCGCGCGCGCGCACATACACACATACACACAACAGGGACGTACCTACAACCGCCAAATAACCAATCTGACTCTTCATCGGGTCAGTGTTTATCTGGCACATGTAGTTGCCGCGGTCGCTCTCGCGCACGTCGCGTATGTGCAGCAGCCATGTTTTGTGCTCGCTGTGAGTGACGCCGATTCTGTGATTCTTCGTTATCACGTGATTGGCTATCGTCAGGATGGTTTGCGTGTCCACCCGCAGCCATGCCACCTGAAACAGAAAAGCCAGGCATACCGCTTCAGTCGTCTGGAACCCATCCATCACCGCGGCCTTTTGTTTCTACGCGCGCGCGGGACGACCCGGTCGGCGGTACATGCACGTGACACCGCGAAAACGCGTGTAATCCGTTACAGTGCGGAAGACCGAGGGAGGGAAGGAGAGAGATGGGCAATTAAAACTCTTCCGACATTGAAAATCTTTCGAATCGCGTGCATCGATTTGATATTCCCCCCGCGGCGCTCTTGTTCGCCTCTTCTTCCCCCGAGTTCCGGGTGTATGTATAATTAAAGCAATATTATTATGGCGAGTGAAGATTAGCTTCATTAGCATTGCGAGAGAGAGAGAGAGAGAGAGAGGGGAAGACATTTTAATATTGGCAAAATTTTCTTACACCGCGCGCCGGTAACTGTATGTATGCAAATGCGCCATTTGCCAGACCAGTCAGACGAACCGGCGAGGAAAACTGAGGAACGTCGTTGAGAGCTACATCAACGTTTATTATTGGGAAACGTCAGGAAATCGTGGGAGAACACGAAGAGACCAGCCGATTTGTTTGAAAACTTGATTACTCCGTCCGTGACGCGCGTGTGTCACGCGACAAGTAAAACCAATCAATTGTGTATGAGGTTTTTTAACTTGATAAGTTTGAGTCAAGTCGCTAACGGCCATACGATGGAAATTCACGGCTACTCTGTCCACGGACCGTATAGTCGTACATTGTCGCCATTCAAACGTTTCTGCATAGCTGGTTATTGTGAGGCGGGTACTACAATCGGTAAATGTGGCTTTGTTGCCCATTGAATTGCGAATCCAGCAAGGCTTAGAAACCCACCTATTGACGGATGACGTAATGACTTTAATGACAAAGCGTCATTGGATCCTCTAAATCCGACGAGTTTCTATCGGATGAGTCCTGCCATCGGCCACTTTGTCGAACCTACAATTGCACGCGCATTTTGCATTAGGTTACAATTGTCGTGTGTACAAAGATCGATCGATCCACCGTTTGTCCGTTTTCATTCGTAGAGACGGTCACGTTCGCGCTTTTATTACTACAAAGCGCGAACATTTTATTATACATATTCGCGTGAAAAAAAAAAAACGCTTTTAACTTGCTACTAGAAAGAGAGAGAGAGAGAGAGAAGAGAGTGGACGAAAAAGTTAAGAGGATCCGAAAATCGAGTAACGAGACACAATGGGATTACGATGAAAGTTCGAGTGTTGTGCGCCTATATCGCGCGCATCTTCGCGAACCTATAGCGCCTTGGCACCTTGCCAGCCGATGAGAATTTATGTCAGCTGCATCGGAAGGATATGGAGAGGAGCAAAACAACGTATGTTTGATAGAATAGCGATAAATTTGCTGCGTAAGGGTGCTGAGCGAATTTTCGAAAGTTGTTTCGAAAATCCGCGAAAGAATAAATGACTTTTTTTTTTGTTCCGTTCGGCTTAAAAACAACAAACAAGAGATGCGCAATTGCGCGTATTTGAAAATGAGATTTAACGCCTTCGCTTAAAGTGATGACCACCGCCCCGGTGTTCACCCCGTCGATAGAATAGCTGCTGTTCCATCCTATCCTGATTTACGAACCGTCGTTAGCGTTCAGTCAAGGTAATTGCTTCGAAACCGCAAGAATTCGCCCCGACAAAGCCGCCGTCGTGAAACCCTTCCCTCCCTCCTCCCCCCCGTTCCTGTCCCCGCTCTCCGACAGACCAGGAGCAAATTCTCGCGTCTACTTACAAAATCCTCTCTTTAATCTTTCTTCGAAATCCACCTCCACTTTGTTACGACGCCGCCGATATTTTTCTATTTCGCCATTACACCCGCGTTCTTCTTTTGTTCGCCGCCAATTGGATTATCGCGACTTCACCGCGAGAGTTTTTTCAGTCCCCTCTCCCCTTTTTTTCAGTTTCCTCCTCCTCGAAGAAGAAAGGAATTATTCCCGCGATCTGATTCATACTCGGTATTCTTGTGTTTTTGCTGCAATTACGCTCGGTGTTTTTTTTTTTTTTTTTTTTTTTGTTTTCTAATATAAACCACGTTTCAAAGTACACACAATTTCAATGTATTCGCGAGATAAAGAAACGCAAGATTAAATCTCAACTTCTTTTTTTTCAATCAACACGAAACTGCGTGAAAATAACGCGCGTTAAATCTTTTGCGCTCGCGCGCGCGCGAGAGAGAGAGAGAGAGAGAGAGAGAGAGAGAGAGAGAGAGAGAGAGAGGGGAACTTTGCGGTAATACACTTTACCCCGCAAAAAACTACGCATATTGGCAAAATGAAAAAAAATTGGGAATTGAATTGACGTTGAGACGAGAGAAGGTCGAATGATAGCGCGCTCGCTAATGACTGAATCGTGTCTCCGAAAGTTTCGCTTCTTGCCGGGAACGCGCGATTGTTCCGCTGATGCTCCAGGACAGTAAAAAAGAGATTAATGGAGATTATCAATTTGCTTATATTTGGCGAACAGTTCGGGCAGATCGTTACACGGCGATCAAAGCCGCCGCTCTTCTTGTTGCGCGCACGCTTTCTCTCACACACGCATGTCGAACAAACGCATGTGTCTGTGTGTGCGCGCGTGTCTCGACCTCCCACGAAATGTTAACAGTCGCGTTGCGACCGCACGATAACAATGCTCACAAGTTCATCGTGTGCTTAATCAAGCAACCGTGTGCTCGCGCTTTGCGCTTAACAGACCGTCTCGTGTCATGCGAACGATTAACACACATTACAAGTACGAACAGAGCGACACATGCATACACACACACACACACACACACGAGTATCTCTCATGAATATTTCTCTCTTTTCTCTGTCTCTGTCTCTCTCCTTTAATGCCTCGTTGTTTTAACTACATATAATTCTGTCTTTAATCCAATTATATTTTGTTGCGCAAAATATTGCGCCAACGTGACAGAAAAGCGATATAGCAAGAAAAAAGTTATGAAAATAGAAACGCGTGCAAACGCTTGCGATTGTGAACGCTCGTGCGAATCGTGTCTCAATTTTATGACGCGTTAACAATACCAAAAATCTCTCTCTCTCTCTCTCTCTCTCTCTCGGGCGCTCCTTCCTTTTGTGTGACAGAAACCGGCGGACGATTTCGGCCGACCGATATCTCTGTCGCGCTTTTCGGGAATTCGCTGATGCGTGTCTGGCCGGCGCGAACATAAAATTGAAATCCGTCCGTCGAGGACGGCAATATGTCTCACGTCCGGAACATAGTCAGCCATGAAATAGTCGAACAGAGTGCGTCAACGGAGCGTCTGAAATTCATTGTTCGTGAGAGCGCGCGCGCTCTGGCCATAGTCGGTCGGCGTTCTATGTGATCACGAGACCGCGCAAAATGGAAACCGCGTGCCAAATACGCGTCTTTCCTCTTCACTTCGCGCGCGGGTCTGAATTTGACGAGCTTGTTCGCGCACAATCTCTCTTTCTCTCTCTCTCTCTTTCTCTCTTTCTCTCTCTCTCGTTTCCCGAAATGCCTTAAACATTTATAATTCGCGCGCGGCTCGCCGCTCTTTATGACAACGCGCGGATTAATTCAATAACCACGTGGAAGAGTTTGCGCTTCCACTGATTGATATTTATCGTCTTTTCATGCGGAAGAACGTGCGTACAATTTCCCCAGCTAATCCGTCCTGACAGATTTATGCAATTCCCCTCCCCGCTCTTCTCCCGTGAAGACTGGACGTCATCGAGCTGACAAAAGCCGAAACAAATCTTCATGCAAAAGTACGCGAAAAAAAGATAACGAAAAACTAAATCCTACAAATGTTGAAAAGTAATAATAAATACAAATGTTCACATCGAGACTGTCGGATTTTTCAAATCACGTTTTTGCGGCATAAACAAATAAATAAGAATTTAATTCCTTCAAAAATTAATTTGCGCCAGTGCGTTAATTAACCACGCGCGAGATATGTATTGTACGTCGCGTCGTATTTTTTCAAAACGCGACGAGAAAATCCAGTTCAGAAAGTATACGGAAAGTAAACTTTCGTATAAAACGCGGAGGAAATGGTTCGCGCGTTATACGAAAACTCATGTATAAAATTGGCGAAATAGGTAAACATATATTTTGCTCGCCGGACTGCGTACATGCTGACTATTTCGCCGTTTCGGAGTGCAATACGATGTAAAGATAAACTATGCGATTCACGACCGAGTGTGAGAGAAGCGGAATTAGATATGACACAGAAATTATAAAACGCTGAAATTTTTCTTTCAATACGATATATTTTTGTTGTAACTTTTTTTGTCAACAAAAAAACGTACGTTGAGAGGCAAAAGTACGTATGTACATACAGATTTTAACGAAAAGATTCTGGCTCGCTGTAAATGCATGCTAACAAGCGTATATGTATGTACACGCGATGCAATTCTGGTTTAGCATATAAAACATGATTTACACGGGACGAACGCGCGTCCCGATTTATGACATCGCCGTAACGCGAACACGCGTTCCATTATCTCCCGCTTCCGCTGCGTTCGGCCCACCACTTTCGCTCCCTAATGCGCAAACTGCCGAGCGCGCTGTCAATCACTCACCTTCAAATCACGTCCTTTCCCTCTCTCTCTCTCTCTCTCTCTCTCTCTCTCTCTCTCTCTCTCTCTCTCGGTCTATTCTATTCTATCTCTTTCTCTATCTATCTCTCTTCTCTCTCGCACAGGACTCTAAACAAAGACTGGTGCCTTAAATATTTCAGCGCACGCTCGCGCGCATACGCTCAAACTCTTTTTCTGCCTCTTTTATTCGGCCGTTCCTTCCGCTTCTCGTTTTCGCGCCGTCGACGACGACAGAATGTAAATTTGTCCGCGTCCATTGGCGTCGGGTGCTACATCGCTAATCGATTGATCGCACGTCTCCCCTCCCCCTTCCCTCCCCCTTTCCCCGTCGTTTCGAGGAATTGATGCATTCGCGCGATTAATTTTATCCGCCGGCCGGATGTTCGGTTACTTTACAAGTCATCGTCGTGTGAAAGCGTC